TAAAATGTTATGTGCAAGATACAATATCCTGTAACGAGGCTAGTCTATGTAGTGGGAAAGGATTGGGACGAGTGGCTACAGTCTCAAATTAATGTAGTTGATTCAAGTTACAGATGTAGTGGAAATACATCACAAAGATAAGCTTGCATATCTTATTCAGCTCAGAAATTACAATTTTAACGAAATGATGATTTAGAACTCAAGTATAAAATGTACACTTGTGTTCTTAGGCAAAAAGAAGGAATCAGTCGTTCATGGTTTGAGCACTAAGTCTTGAGGAGATAATCGAGCGATGAATAATATTTTTTGATAATTTCAAAATACAAACCCCTTGGACCCTTAAAATAGGCTAACCTTGGCGATTTCATCTATGATGCCTGGATCATAAGACATTGTTGCCAGCGCTCCAGAGCAAGCCAAAACTAACGACAAATCATCCTGCTCAACTTCCTGGTGACCATCTGCATCCTCTTGGTTCGTGGCCAGGCAGTAGAGCAGCAAGAGCTTAATACGATCCGTGCCTCCCGGAAGTATCAGTTTCTTTCCCAAATCACCTTGGTCCGTCAATGTCTCATCTAATGGGAGTCGGCCACCACAGGCAAGAACAAACGGCGGATACTGAGCCATATTGTTATAGCATTCTGCAGCAGCGCGGCGTAGCTGGTGATGCTCATCAAAGAGGTATGTGTCAATCGTCCGCAGGCCACGTTCCGCCATAATCCGATGTCTGGACGGCAAGGCGCATAGTTGGCCAATAGAAGATAAAATAGTTGAAAAAGATAGACTCACTACTAAAGATAGAGAAAAATGTATCGATAAATAGCAATATAAGGACCAAGATTGTCTAGTCTTTTGTTTGGTCGCAGTCTCCTTTACATTTATACCGTACATTTGACCTCATTTTCGCAACTTGATCGGAACTACTCAGAGACTTTGTGAACGTACCTAATTCTGAAGATGTGAAGACCAAGATGTTGTGGCCTCGGGTATGGTCGCAGTCTCCTTTCGACCGCTCTCACCACTTTTGGCCAACGTATACATGAACAAAATAGAAGAGAGCTTTAAGACGGCACCGCTA